TGACTGTATTATTATTATTATTATTACTACCCTTCTCTTGTATACGTTCCCTGGAGTATTGTTTTCTCCAGTTTTTTTGTTTTTTTAAGTTTTTTTTTTGCCACGAACGCTAACTGTTTATATTCATCGGAAAACAAAAAAAAAATTTTCAATTCAATTAATATTATCATTTTTTTATATTATTCATCATCATCATCATCATCACCACTCGGAATCGTGGAAACAAAAAAAAAAAAAAAAAGTTTTTAATAATTTTTCTTTTTTTTTCGGGCATTAACGGCTTCCACTTTTAATAAATTATCATCGTGTTTAAAAAAAAAAAAAAAAAAAAGAGAGAGAGAGAGATGAAAAAAAAAGAAAGAAGAAAAAAAAAACTCGTTTGATGAGTATTTAAAAATAAAAAAAAATATATATTTTCGTGACGTTATTATTATTATTATTATTTTTATTTTATTCCGTTACGAAAATAATTAATTTACGGATTAAAAAAAAAAAAAAAAAAAAAAAAACCAAACGAAAGGTTTTAAAACAAAATGGCGAACGATGACGATGATGAATTTTGAAATCGCGCGCATTAAAAAAAAAAAAATACACGTTTGCCAATTTGATAAAACGATAAAATTTTGTTTTGTTTTTAATACACGACGCCATTTTGTTTTTGCGGGTAAAAACCCGGGGAATTTGTTTTGCAGGGAATTTTTTTTCAAATGTTGGACATTTTGATGACGATTTGATGAGTTTCGTAGCAGAAGAAATTTATTATTATTATTATCCGGGAAACGAAATGAATCGGTTGTTTTTTTTTGTTTGTTCGTTTCTGAATAAAGAGAGAGAGAGAAAAGGTAAGTAGTAATTTTTTTTTTTTTGAATTTATAAATCATAAATGAAATTCAAGAGTTTTTTAGATTTTTATTTCGGTTATTATTTATTTTAAAATCGGTCAAATCATTGTGTAAATAATTATATATAATTATTTATTTATCTTTTCTTTTTTCTTTTTAATCCGTATAATTTTCTATTAAGTGTCGGCCATAATTTTTTAACGCTTCTCTTTTTTTTTTTTTTTCGTTTTTTTTTTTTGTTTTTTTTTCTGTTATGGTGGTCCACGTGTTGTGAATCCAAATTGTTTCCTTTTTGTTTTTCCTCTCGGAAGGGAAAATAAAATAACGACATCGCGCGGGATTTCAATGTACGAATCCTTTGTAAAAATTCAAAATTTCACTTATAGATGTCGCAGCAATCGCTCACAAAAAATATCCCCTCTTTGCGAGGAAAACGTGTGACGTAGAAAACCTTTTTTTGTTTTTGTTTATGTTTTTCCTCTCATTTTCTTTAAAAAAAAGTTTTAAAATTCGATTGTGTTGTTTTGTTTTTTTTTTTTTTTTAAATTAAGTCAATTTAAATTAAGAATTTACAAACGTTATTTAAATTATATATAAAAAATGGTAAACGCCCGGAAAAAAATAAACGAAAAAAAAGTAAAAATGGTGGAAATAGACGTTTAACGAGAGAAATGAAAAATGTATGAGAATCAGGGAATATAATATCCTTTCACTCTCTCTTTCTTTCTCTCTCTTTTTTTTTTAGAATTGCTAATAAGATTTATTCGAATTTTCACACTGAATACATTACACCAAAACGTTTTACAATATGAGAATATTAAAAAAAAAATAAAAAAGGAAAATTTTGTAGTGAAAAAAAAAAAAAATTATTTATAGTTCTGAACAATTTTTATTATTATTATTATTATTATTTTTGCAATTTGTCACACATCGTAAAATTTTAATTGTTAAATAATTTAATGATTTTTTGCCCCCATGATTGTTAATAACATGAAACAAGAGAGAAAAAAAAAGAAAGAAGGAAATGGATTTTAATGACCCCGAACTAAAAGGAAAAGGTACCGAGAGAAGTTTGAGTAATTAAAAGAAAAGAAAATATATATATGCGTGCGTGTGTGCGTGTGCGTGAAAAACCTTTAATGGATTCGAAAGAGAGAGAGTGAAAATTTTTAATCAATTGAAAAAAAAAAAAACCAACAGGTCGCCGCCGTTACGTCCTTTTAAAAATTATGCACGTATGGCAAAAGTTTTTTAAAATGTCGTGACGACGTGGTAGTAGAAAGTGAAAAAAAAAAAAATAATGACGGTTATAATAATAATAATAAAAAAACCGGGAAAAAATTTTTTTTTTAACGTTTAATTTGTTACCTTAATAGAATAATTTTTGCCGTGATAAAATCTTTCGAAAAAAAGGCTTCCCTTAAGGCTTGAAAAATATAACATTATTATAAAGTCAACACAAAGCCGCCACCGCCGCCACATCTTCCCTTTTTAAAACCTACCATTTTTTTTTGCATTTTCTTTCTTTCCCGACCGTGTTGCCCCCTATATTTATCATATCCTTCCTCCCCCCAAAAAAAATACATAAAGAAAAGAAAAGAAAAAAAGAAAAAAGAAATTTTTTTTTTCATTTGAAAACTTTCTTTCTTTTTTTTTAAACTTTTTCTTTTATATTTTTTTTTTCTTCTTTATTCTCCCCATTCACTCTCACTCTCTCTCTCTCTCTCTTACTCTCTTTTTTTTTTATTCTTCTCTTCATTTATTTTAAGCTTTTGAAAACACGCAACCTTTTCTGGTTAATAGGAAAAAAAAAAAAAAAAATTTTTTTTTCTTTTTCTTTTTCTTCTTGATAATTTCATCCACTTGGAAGTGAAAACCATTCATTGCCTTTTATTACCACAGAAAAAAGAAAAAAATTATTTCTCGCTTGAAAATGAATTTTATTTTGACATTTGTTTGCGTTCCCAAAATGTTAGGAAAATTCTAGAAAAGAGAGTAAGGTCAGGAGGGGAAGGAGGGATGGGATTGGGTGATGCGGGGGGGTGGAGAGTAATTTTCGGGTGAGAAAAATTCTATTAAGAATCTATGGTAAATTTGGATTTTTTTTTTTCGTGAGGAAAGTAAACTTAGGATAGGCTATCATTTCTATCTTTAGTTTCGACTGGGGATAGTAATAATAATAATAATAATAATTCGTGCGAAGGTTTGCCATGGTCTAGGCTACTAGAGTGAGAGAGAGAGAGATTTTTTTTGTGTTCATCCCTTCGAGATGTTTGTCTCGAACTTATTCAAGGGGATGAAGAAAAAATGAAGGGAGAAATCAAAATGGGAGAGAGTTATTTCAAGAAAATTGACTTTTGGAAAATTTTTTTTTTTCCCCGATAAAACTTAATTTTTACTGTCGGTTGTTGGCTGTTGACCGACAGAAACGTCGAACTTTTTTCGAAAAGTGAGTTAAAGTAAAAAAAGAAATTTTCCATTAAAAAAAAAAAGAAATATATATATATATATATAAATTCAAGTTCCAACCACGATTTATTTATTTATTTTTTTTATTTTTTGTTGTCTTGAGGGGGTAGAAATGATTTCGAGATTAAGAACAACAACAACAACAGGAGCAATAATAATAATAATAATAATAATAATAATAATAATAATAATAATAATAATAATAATAATAATAATTAAAAGCAATGGAAAAAGAAAAAGTTAAATTTTTATTTCCTGTTTTTTTTTCTTTCGTTTCTTTTTTTTTAACAAATGTCAAATCGAAATTCTTAGGGTGTAGATAGATGAAAAAAAAAAAAGAAAACAACCCTTAAAAGCCGCCGGAAAGGGAGGAAAGAAAAATAAAACTGAAAACCGAGGGGCAAACAAAAACACTTGGTTTGATATTAAGATAGAAGAATAGGAGGGCCTTAGGGAAAGCTTATGGCAATCGGAAAATGTTTATCATTCTCCTCATTTAAACTTTTTTTTTTCCTTTCCTTTTCTTTTCCTTTTTTTTTATTCTGAAAAGAAGGAGGCGATCGGGATTAAAAGGAAAAAAGGGATGAAAGTAATAAGGGTGAGAAATACAGGGAAGAAGGAAGGAAGAAAGAAAGAAAGGAAAAAAAAGGAGGTAGAATAAAGGAAGGGTGGTGGTTGTGGCGGTGGTCAAAAAATAAGACGATGAAAAAAATATAAAAAATTGCGGCGGCGGTGGCGGTGGCGGTGGCGGTTGCGACGGAAGTGGCGGTCACGATGTAATTTTTTTTTTTGATTTTGAAATTAAAAAGAACCAAAAAAAAAAGTAAGAAAAGAATTTTATTTTAGGTTTTGGCTTATGTATCTTTTTTTCTTTCTTTTTTCTTTTTTTTCTTTTCAAAAATAAAAACATTGCCAGGTTTCATAAGTAATTGAGAAGTTGGAAGGATTTTAAATAAAAAGAAAAAGAAAAAGGAAAAAAAAAGGAAAAAAATGGAATCCTTTTTGGGCCTTGTCCAAAGCCTCCATCTACAAAAGTTACCCGAAAAAAAAAAAAAAAAAAATACATGAATTTTTTCTTTTTTATTTTTCACCGTCTTGATTTATTGTTTATCCAATTTTCCAAGGCTTTTAGGTACGAAGAAGACAAAACTCCCTCTCCCCTTCCCCCAAAAAAAAAATGAAACGCGAAGCGTGAGAGAAAACCTGAAAAATTAAAAAAAAAAATTAACTTCCGGTTATTTGATAAAACGATTGTGAATAAACGGGAATGTTTATGCGTATAAGAAAAAAAATTTCGCCATATTTTATTTCTTCAGTAAATAAGTTTTTAAAAAAAAAAAAATAATAATAATGATAATAATGATAATGATAAATCGGCGTCGTCGTTCGTCGGTGTATTGATTTAGTGTCCGCGAAATTTTCTCAGCCCCTTTTATGGATAGACGTGAGATGAGCCCTTCCCGTCACTTTCTTTTTAAAGGAAAAGGAAAAGGGAAAGAAGAAAAAGGTTACGGCGAAGGGTGGAAAAGGAGAGGAGAAGAGAAAAGGAAAGGAGGATGACGATGAAAAAAAAAAAGAAATTTTGAGGAATAGGAAAAAAAAAAAAAAATCAGTCGGCGGTAGCTTTTCTCTTTCTCTCTTTTCGGGAAAGTGAAAGAGGGAAATGGTAGGGTAGGAGAGAATAAAGAATCAAAGGAAAAAGGGAAAGAAAACACACGGATGCGCGGGGGGAAAGGGGGAGAGAGAGGTGAGGTGAAGAGGGGTATAAAGAAGTACGACGGGAAAAACGTCGCGGCTCAGAGATTCGGAAACGGAAAATGAGATATGGCTTCTATGGTTTTCTATTTTTTTTTTCTCTCTTTTTTTTTTTCTTCCCTTCATATCTCTCAGCATGCTTTTTTTTTTCTTTTATTGAATTTTCATATTTGAAATTGTTGTTGTTGTTGTTGTTGCTGTTGCCCTTTTCGTCCAAAAAAAAAAGGAAAAAAAATTAAAAAAAAAAAAACGTTTTGCTATAAACTCTCCTCCGCACCTAATTCACAAACCTCCCACCGCCTTCCCCAAAACCATTTATTTTTAATTTACCAACAGAAAATGATAAGAGTGATAAAAACTGATAAATAAATAACCCTTTTGAAGATAACAGGAAAACATTTTATAATTTTTTATATTTAAATCGGCCGTTAAACTTTTTAAACGGTAAGAAAATTATTAAAAACGCCTGGAGAAAAAACGAAAAAAAAAAAAATGTATAAATACATGTTATACTGAAAAAATCCATCAATATACTATGATATATTATCGATTCAATGCGTAATTTGTTGTTTTACGTAATAATAATAATAATAATAATAATAATAATAATAATAATAATAATAATAATAATAATAATAATAATAATTTTCCATAAATTGAATAATATTTATGTATAATACATATACGGATATTATCTGTAACGTGTAATTATATTATTAATCAAAGTGTTATTATATTGGTTTTTACGATGGAAAAAAAGCAGAAGAAAAATTTAATAACCGCGAGTTTTTTAAATTGAACAAAGAGGGGAGGGTAGAGGGAGGGGTGAAAGGAGGAGAAAAGTTTTTCGATTTGAATTTATTATTATTATTTGTTTAATCTATAGCGTTTTAATTGTGAATCGTTTGAAAAAAAAAAAAAAAAAACGAATGAGTTCTTTTTTTGATAAATTTAGGGTGGTGATGATGGGGTGATTGGGAAGGGGAGGCAAAGGGAGGGGGAGGAACGCGTGCGTAAAAAAAACGCGTACGACGCGCGTAACTTTTTTTTTTTCATTAAAAGTCAATATGATTTAAAAATAAAAAGTTTTTTTTTTTTTTGATTTCTTCGTAAACCGGATTTTTAAGTAAAATCTCGTTTTTTCAAAAAAAAAAAAAAAAGGTTACACATTTGGTCCCCCGAGGGCATTTCTTCCCTACCCCCCAAAAAAAAATTTTCTTCTTCTTTTTCTTACATCTTTCATCCTTTTTCACTGATTTACTTTCATTTCGACACTTTTTCCTTTCTCTCTCTCTCTTTCTTTTTTTCTCCTAAGCGTTTTATTTTTTTCCATCCTATCAAAGATTTCTTTTCTTTTTTTTTTTTTTTTTTTTTTTGAACTTCAATAACGTATTATTCTCACGAGATTTTTCCTACTCGTATCTGCCTCCTCATCTTTAAACGTTTTCTTTTTTTTTTTCATTCCTAGAAAAAAAAAAAATTATAATTTTTTTCCTTTTTGTAAAACTTTTGTTTTTTGTCGGACAATTTTTTTTTTTTAGATATTCTCGAAAGTTCCATGCGGTAAATATTAAACAATGTTTTGTTTTTTGTTAAACGTTAATATATGAAATGCAAGGAATGACGACGACAGTGACGTAATAACGACGACGACAGCATTTTTTAAATTGCCATCTTATCGAGAAAAATTTTTTTTTTATTAAAAACGAACGTGATGGCGAACGTCTAAAAATATATATATTTTTTTTTTAATTGTAAAAGTCATCGATTTTATTCTGACCTTTTAATTTTACCTTTTTTTTTGAAAATAAAAGGCATCGTGTTAACCTTTAAGGTTAACAAAAAACGACAAAAAAATGTTAAATGCACGCGCGCGCGCATTGGATTTTTACACGAATATTAAAATTATCGTTTTTTTTTTTTTTTCATTTCTTCTGCTTAGAAAAAAACAAAACAAATAAAAATTCATAGAAAAAAAAATGGCCGATGGTAGTAGATGTTGTCAATCCCTCTTAAAAGTAGCCTTTGTCATTCTTTTTAAAAAAAAAAAAGAGGGGTTGTTTTTATTGTTGTTGTTGTTGTTTGTTACTTCTTTCATAACGTTTCATTCTTTTGGAATCCATATTGAATTCAAACCGTTTGCACTTTTTTTTTCTATTCTTTCTCATTCAAAAAAGAAAAGAAAAAAAAATGGAAGAAACTCGATGAACGCGCACGTAGTCATACATATCAAACACATTTTTTTTATTTTTATTACGTTTTATTAATAAATAAATTTAAATATTAATTAAGTCATTAATTAAAAAATAAAATAATAATAATTATTATTTTTTTAAATTCCAGAAGTAAAAATTAACTTACGTAATAAATAAATAAATAATAATAATAATGATAAACGTAGCGAGACCGGAGGGTGCAACCCGTAATTATTTAACCGTTTTCGACATTTATTTATTTTATTTATTTATTTATTTATTAATTCAAAATTTTAATAATTTAAACAAATATATATATATTTCATTCCACAAAAAAATGGATGATTGATTAATAAATAGAAAATTAAAGAAAAAGAAAAAAAATTAAATCAAATTTGCGCATTTTTCTTTTCTCCCCAGCAAACGATAATTTCAATGTCGATAAAAGAAAGAGAGAGAGAGAGAGAGATATACGCGAACGGATGGATAAATAGATAGATGGAAACGTATATAAACGGAAACGTATGAACGTATGGACAGATAAATAGATGGATAGATAGATGTATTAAATCTCTTCTATATATATTTCTTAATCCAAATTTTCAATCTGGATTTTTCATACGTGATACGAATAAAATCAAATGGAAAGTTTTTTACCCTTGAAATCGTTTTTTTTCTTCTTTTTCTTCTGCTTAAAATATTTATTAACTTGTGTGTGTGTGTATTGTAACCCGGTATAATTATTAAAAATCGATAAATTTTATTTATTTAAATAATTAAATGGCGAACAAAAAAAAAAGAAACATTGATACTTAAACGATGTACGACGTACGCTCGGCGCGTTGATAGAAAAGATTTATTACGTATCGTTAATTTTTTTACCACCGTAATAAAAAGTTTTTCCGTTTGTTGAATCAAAAAAAAAAAAAAATCCGCATTTCGTGTGTGTGGCGTACAAACAACAACAACAACTAGAAAAATTAATAAAAGATAAAATTGCCAAAGGATAATCGATGTTTGATTTATTTATTTATTCATTCATTTTATTAAAAAAAAAAAATTAATAAATTTATCGATTCGTAAACTCGCACGCGAACAACAAATCGATTATTAAATAAAAAAATTATTATTATTATTATTATTATTTCAAACGCCGCGTTTGTCAATAATTTTGGGATGAAAAAAAAATTACGCGTTCGTAAAAAAAAACGGGTGTATTAGATAAATAACGATTTATTAACGGTAATAAAAAATAATTAATAATTTATTAACGAATTAACGGGTAATAATACTTACCTGGTAGTAATAGTAATTTTTTTTAACTCAACTCCCAAACAAGATTTTAAAACTAGTCGAAAATATCCCCCTTACGATTATTTTATTTATTAATCTTTTTATTTATTTATTTAATAATAATTTACTACTCGAATCTCTGCTACTTTTTTTTCTATTAAATCATCATCATTATTTTTATTATTTTTATTTTTTTTTTACTTTATCACTCGACGTTTTCACGGGTTGCAATAAAAAAACAAAACGAAAAAATATTTATTTATTATTATTATTATTATTAATTTATTTTTAATAAAAAAATAAAAATCATTAAAAACATAATTGAATTACTTACGTAAGTTAAATATAATTTTATTATTATTATTATTACTTAAAATTATTAAAATTGTTGTCGTATGTAAATGTTTGCGGTGGGGTTTGTTATTAATAATAATAATAATAAAAAAGTAAAAAAAAAAACGCTGTTGTTATCACGAAAGGGTAACCCCCGTAATAATAATAATAATAAATTATTTAATTAAATTTTAAATAAATCAGATTAGAAAACAAAAAAAAAAATTTTTTCAGGTTCGAAATTGAATTAAATCATGCAAAAACATGCGTTAACCACCCTTAAACGTATATTTACATGTATGTGATATTAATGGTCGGGAGAAGGGGGGGAAGGGGGATTTCGTTCCGCACACAACACCAACACACACTAACAATTTAAAACAACAACAACAAAATCGTTGTTGTTGTTGTCGTTATTGTAGTTTTTGACTTACTCGTCGTCGTCGTTTTCTTTTTTCCTTTTTTTTGTCTTATAAAAATTCAATAGAAAAAATTGTAAACATTTTGTTGTTGTTGTTGTTGTAGTCATGCATGGTGATTTTTTTTTCTTTATTTTTACGTAAACAAAATATATAGATTTCACTCTCTTTTTTCTTTTATTATTATTATTATTTAAAAGAAAATACCTGAAATGACCCAATTTCACGTGAACGTTTGTATTGTGTAACTTATTGTAGTAAATTTTTTTTTTTTTTTTTTTGGGGTTTTAAAAAAGGTAAAAAGAAATTTTGTTTTCTTTGTGTTGCCAAGATTTCACTTCTTTTTGTTTAAAAACAACAAAAAAAAAATTGTTGTTGTTGTTGTTAAAAGTAATAAAAAGAAACAAAAGTTTTTTGTATTTATATATTCGTTTGTATCGCGTGTTACGTTTTGTTTGTTGTGCGTTCGTATGCTCGTTCGAAAACCGTTTGTTTTAAATGAAATTTTTATTTTGGAAAACAACAGCAACAGAATATCGATTTTTTTTATTTCTGTAGGTTAATAAAAAAAAATTTATAATTTTGATGTCTTTTTAATCAAAAAAAAAAAAAAAAATTCAAACAAAACGATAAAAGCGCCGTATAAAATAAATCTGCGATGAAAATATTCGAAAGAAGGTTATTTTTAAAATGGCGGGGAGAGAGAGAAAGAGAGCGAAAGAGAGAGAAAGAGAATCGGTTCCTGCGTCTCGGCGCTTGAACATGACGCCGTGACGAACTCGAAAAAGTTAAGGGAATAAATAGCAGCGGCGGTGGTAGCGGCGGCGGTAGCGGAAAGAGGAATCGAATATAATAGAAAGAGAAAGAAATTGTGAAAGAGAAAGATGAGGGTATAAAGAGAGAGCGAAAGAGAGAAAGAGAAAGATGAGGGTATAAAGAGAGAGCGAAAGAGAGAAAGAGAAAGAAGGAAGTTAGAAAGCGATGGCTAAAGGGATTCAAAGGGGGAATGAGGGGGGGCTCGAGCTTACAAAGAGAATTATATGAAGAAACGGGAAGAGGAGGTGGCGGTGGTGGAGACGGTGGTGAAAAAGTAAAATCGGTTCAGCAAGTATTCGACATCAAGTCGCTTTCGGTTAGTCAAGTTTCGACTCGTTGCCGCGAATCGGTTAATATTTTTAACATAAAAACGGTGCCATGCTTTTAATGATATTTCGTTATTATTAATTAAATTTTTCTTCTTTTTTTTGTCACGATCACGTAATATTATTATTATTATTATTATTATTATTATTATTTACTTATTTACTTATTCTTATTTATTATTTATTTATTTCGTCTGGTTCGATGATTTTCCGAGTAATTTTTATTTTCCTATCGACGATGCCTCAGAGTGAAAGTGATAAATTATCGAATACCTCCCGAATGACGAGCAATAGAAAAAATTTTTTTTTCGTGTTTGTTTGTGAAATAATAATAATAATAAATGTATTAATATCGCTATTAATAAATTATCGATCACGTGATTTTTTTTTTAAATAAACGAATAAATAAATTTTTTACGTGGCGACACACAAACATCATTTATTTATTTTTCGACACACAAACACATTCACACACAGACACATGCAAAAAAAAAAAAATAAATAAATTATTTACGTTTCGTTACGTAATAAAAATAAAAAAAATGAAATACCTGAACGTACCTTGAATTTTTAAAAAATAAATAATAATAAAAAAAAATTTTAATCGATAAATGATGTCCCCTTTCCCCCCGAAAAAAAAGAAAAAAAATTTTTATTTTTTTATTTTTTATTTTCACAATAAATAAATAAATAAATATCGAATTTCGAAAAATTAAAAATACATAAATAAATAAATAATAACCGGGGGAAAAAGTTATTAACAATAAAAAGAAAAAACTCATCGTGTTATTAATATTTAAATGCCTTTTTTTTTTCGAATGTTAATAATAATAATGATGATGATGATGATGATAATTGTAGCGACGGCGTATTTTTTTTTATGACATGAAAATGTGCACCGATCGAATAAAGAATTTTTATTTTTTTTTCGTACCTGTGACGTAAAATATGCCAACGAATTTGTTCGTTTGTTTGTACCGAACCGAATACCGTTTGTAGTTTAAAATTTTATTATTATTATTTTTTTTTTTTTAAAAGGAAAAGAATTTTTATCTTATCGTTATTGTTATTTTGATTAATATTACTGCAATTATTATTGTTATTATCATTATTATTAAATTTTAATTAAAAATAATTGTCGAGATGAAAAGACAAAGTTAAGGTGGTGGTGGTAATAATAATAATAAAAGACGAAATATAGGAGGGAGAAAGGTATGCTTCGTAAGGTTGCCACAAAGGTCGGATTATAAAAAAAAAAAAAAAAGAGGCTTACAAGTCAAAAGGTTTGAGTTCCTTCGGGAGTTTTCCCTACAACTACTAACAAAAGCTCGGCTTATTGGGTAATTGCACGAAGGGGGAGGAAGAGAGTGGGAGGGGAGGAAGGAAGGAAGGAAGAAGAATACTTTTCCTTTTTTTTTTTTTAAATGTATATAAAATCCTTAAAAGGATTACGAAACGTTTACGTTTTTTTTTTTTTTTTATGGTTTCGGTTCGCAAATTTGAATCGTCGGACGTTTTAACGATTCCCTTCCGCTTTCTCCTCCCCCTCCTCTCTCCCTCTAACTCACCCTTAAACTTTTTTTTTTTATTCATTATTTTGACTGGGATACAATTAAGAAAGTAAATGCGTTGTCGACGTCAAAAAGGCAAAAAATACCCCCCCCCAAAAAAAAAAAAAAGGTACGATGATGATGCTAATAAGGGGCTGTCAGATATGAATTTAGGGAACCGCCGCAAAGGGTAATGAACTAATTATTAATGCGAATGAGGGAGGAGGGTGGGGATTATTAAATTAAACGCGGGAAAAATTACATTTTAAATGCTATAATTTTTTTTTTTTTTAACCTAAATAAATATACAAAAATTTCTAAACAACAACAACAACAAACGCCTTGTACAAACGTATATTATTTTACAAATACTTGTTTATATAATAAATGAATAAACTGGAAAATAAAAAAAGTCTGGAATTCGAATGCGGATCCGTTCGTTGTTTTTTTTTTGTGAATTTTTTCTTTCGAGGGTTGATTTTTTTTTTTTTTTATGTTTCGACCAAAAAAAAACCCGTTAAACTCGTTATTAATAAATTAAAAATATTTTTTCATTTTTGAATCGGGATTTCAAATGATTAATATAAAACCTGAAAAAGAAATATTTAAATTAATATTCGCATCGTCTGCTGCGGAAAAAAAGTTTAAAAAAAAAACCGAATATCAATTTGAATTTTTTTTTTTTTTATAAAACGGTTTCATTTAAATCGAATTCTTTATTTATTTATTCTTAAGGGTGAAATACCGCCATTTTTTTTTAAATTTTAAGTTGGCTAAACTTACGATCGAGGTACGATTCGGTGAAATTTATCATCAAACACGTGCTCACACACTTAATTGTAAAAACAAATTCTTTAATAATTTAATTACTATTATTATTTATTATTATTATTATTATTATTATTATTATTATTATTATTATTATTATTATTATTATTATTATTATTATGTTAATTATAATAATATATTCGACGTGCCAATAGATATTAAAACCACGAACATTAAATAATAAAATTAGAAAGTAACGAAAAAAAAAATAAAAAAATTTTTTTTACAATTAGCCGAAGGCATTTAAAAATTAATAACACGAATGAATGAATGAATGAATAATATTAAAATTCTAGAATTTTTTTTATTTTTATTTTTTTTTACCGCATGAGTCGTTTGCCATTTTTTTTTTGTACGAAAACGATTTATTAAGACGACGTAAAAAAAAAAAAGTGAAGTGAATTTAATTTGTTAAACAACACAACGTTTAATTAACTTTTATCAAATTATAAAATTTTTTTTTTTTTTTATTGTCGTTGTTGCGTTTGTTGTTTGTTTTTATTATTATTCGGTCATTCATTAAACGTTTTCAATCGTTCTCTTTTTAATTAAACAAAAAAAAAAATATATGGTTGAAATTGAAAATTCGGGAGAGTTTTTTTTTTCCAACTTCATTTCCGCCATTTTTATTTGCGTTTTCCCTACGCATTTTTTAAAGAGATTGCATCGGGATTCGGGTTTTTAAAAAATAAAATTTTCATCCCCCTTTTTTTTTTTTTGTTAATTTCAGACAGTTTTTTAAATTTTTATTTAAAAAAAAATGTGCGAATCATTAAAATTTAAATAATAATTAAATAAAAGATGAAAATGTCAAAAAAAATCGATGATGAAATCGATATTGAAAAAAAATAAATAATAAAATTTAAAAAAAAAAACGGACAATGAAATGCGAAATAGAACATTCGGAAAAGAATCAAGATAATAATAATAACAAGGGAAAAAAAATTTTAAAAGAAACCATAAATGTTTGTACCGGAAATAGGTACAGAGAACAACAACAACAACAACAGCAACACATCAATCGTTATATCGTATCTCTTGGAAACTTTTATCAAATGACAAAAAAAGGAAAAAAAGAAAAAGAAAATTATTTTTTATTGATATTATCGATCGATATCGATAAAAAATCAATTTGAATAATAATTAATAATAATAATCATTATTATTATTCATGTATATATTTATATAATCGTCTCGAGGCGATTTTAAGACAACGATAAGTCTAGTTTCGAGTGCCAGAGATTTCGATAATTTTTTGCCTTAAATTAAAAAAAAAAAAGAATTAACGGTTTTATTATTGTTCATCTATTTCTTCCATTTTCTCCTTTCTTCTTCCTACCCCGCCCACCATTTTTTTTAAGACGAGAAAAACGATAAACGTACATTTAAATAATATAGAATAGTGATAAGGTGGTCGATTTTAAGAAAAAAGTATCGGTCGTAATAATAATAATAAAAGTGTCGAAAGAAAACATAAAAAATCATCGATTGAATTATTTAAAAACGAGGCAACGGAGAAAACGAAAGGAGAAAGGAAAACAAGGTAAGGGTTGAAAAAGAGACGGGAAAAAAATAATAATAATAATTTTTTTTCATTTTATTTGTTTGTTTGTTTGTTTAAAGGTTTTTGTTGTTTGTTGATTTTCCAATAAAAATAAAATAGAGAGAGAGAGAGGAGAAAAGTTTCGAAAACCGGAAAAATCTTGTCTCGCGAACGGCAATTTTTCTTCAAGTAAAGTGATTTGGAAAAGAAAAAAAAAACAGGAAGTGGGTGGAATTTTTTTTTTTTTTTCGTTCGTTCGTTCGTTAGTTTTTCTTTCTTCGTCGTTTCCTGTTTTCCTCCTTCTCTTCCCCCAACCATACACCCATTCCGTATGTAAGGAGTCGAAACAAAAAATCGAAAATCGTAAAACACCCTTTTGATTTTTCTTTTTTTTTTTCCTTCGACAATTAATGTATATAAGAAAAAGAAGTGGGCGGCGTTTAAGAGTTTTTTTTGCCCCCTCTTCCCTCTTCCCTCCTCTTTCCTTCTTTCCTCCCTCTACTCCTCCCCACGACATGTTAAATTTCTTCATTCCGTCTTCGTGTAGCGAAAAAAAATAAATAAATAAATAATAATAATAGTGAGATTGCACGAAGTATAGTATAAGAACCCTTAAAATTCATCCCCCTTTGGAAATTTTTTTTATTTCTTTTTTTTCTTCAAAAATTTTCAAAGGGATGGAGGGGGATGATCGGATTCTTCTCCTAATATAACCCCCATAAATTTAAATTGGTTTTTGTTTTTCTTGTCATCCCTTTTAGGTGCGTTAAAGTCTTTTATGGGGTAGAAAAAACAACTTCCCCATTTTTTTTACTTCTCCTTTTTTACTCCCGTTTTTCCAACGTCTCTCTCCTTTTCTTTTACACTTCTTATTATCATAATAATAATAATAATAATA